CAAGTCTAACACTGAAGACTCTAAAAGGAATCGACTCCAAAGAATTAGGCTTCCATAGTTCCAACCATTATCCAATAGAAAAGACTCCAAAAAATCAAGCTTTCAAAATTCCAAGATTGGTGTACTAAGCTTCAAATTAAGTTCTTGACAAGTCTAAAAAAGAAGACTTAATAGAATCAAGTCTCCAAAATTCTAAAGAAAACCCCAAACGAAGAAAGAGTTAATGCCACTGAATCGATAAGATGTAAATTCGATGCAAATCATTGTTGAGATTTATGACATGCTTTGATTATGTAGTGTGGGATAAGCTTCCTTCATCTAAACTTTTAACTAAAAAGAATGTTCAAGATCTGACTTATTGGTCTATATTTGAAAATTGTTTTATTAATAAATAACATATTATTATTTAATTTTAAGTTCAAAATATATTTTAATATATTAAACAATTAGTATAAAAATACTTTATAATATTTAATAGTAAAATATTATGTGAATTGCCAGGTCATGTTACAAGATAGAGGTTAACTACTCAATTTATGATCTAATTATTGAGTGATTTTTAATTAAGAATTAAACATTTTGTTTGATTCAAATGAAGATATGTCGTTCTTAGAATATAACAAATTAGGATATTTTCTAATAGAATTGAGAATGTATACTACACGTGCCCTCAACTCATGTGTAAGAGTTGAATTATTTTGCTTAAATATCATTTTTGCTGATTTGGCAAGCCAACGGTGTCTTTTTTTTCTGACGTAGCAATATTATTGTCCACATTTCCAAAATGATAAAAAAATTAATTTTAAAAGGTAATTTTGGAAAATTACAATTTAATTAATTTCTAAAAAAAAATTCTTTCTCTCTTATTTTCCTATCTCCTCCATAAATTTTCCTTCCTTTGCCTTGCTCGTTTCTCTGAAGAAACAAAATAACTTATTTCATGGTCTAAAGTATTTTGGAGTTTTGTCTTGAATGTGTTACAAATGCATGTTGATTAAAGATAAAAAAAATTGCTATTTTCTATCAAAAAAAAAAAAAAAGGACAGATGGGTTTCAGATATAATGAAATATTTCAATGAGATTTGAGAAACGAAAAAAAAATTTTCTCTTTTAAATTTATGTTTGAATTTTTTGTTTTTTTGGAAATTTTAACGATTAAGAAAACTTAGAAAGAATAACTAAAAAAATAAATGAAAAGAAAACCTAGACGAAAGAAGAGATGTTGATAAGGGACAAAATATGGACTAGGAATGTTTGAAAAGAAAGGAAAATATTTTTAAATTGAAAAAATGACACATCATTTTCATATGTTATATTTTTCAAATTTAACTGCAAATGTATATCAAGTTACATTTCCGTTTAAAATTTTTTTATATTACTATAAGTCAATAATATTTAATTTTTATTCATATAAAATAAAATATTTAATTTTGAACTAAATAAGCACATAAATATTTGATCTTAAATAAAACATTTAGCTCAAGATAAACTTAAGCTAACTATAAAAAATTAAAGATATAAATTTTTGATGTGTTTGATAATTCATTTTAATAAAAAAATTAAAAATCTTAAATAGCTAATTTTGTTCTTAATTCTTATAGGCATTTAGTTTTAACAAACCAAAATTTTATACATAAGTCAACTTTTGGTTCAAATTTTAGGATGAACTAGAAAGAGAAAATTTTGAAACTCTAACTCAAAAGTAAAAGTGTTAATGGGTCCGATTAAATGTGAGTTTTAATCATACTTAATATTAATAATTTATATATTTATTCTTGCTCAACTCGATCTAATATTTCATGTCTTAAATTTTTTAAAGTTTGGTCTAAATTAAAAAAAATAAATTTCAAACTTACTCATTAAACTTAATTTATATAATAAAAAATTTTAAAAAATAAAATAAAAAATAAAAAATTACATATATATACTTATATAATTATAATATTTTAATTATATATATTTTATTTGGATTGAACTGGGCTGAATTCAAGCTTTAATTCTTTTGTCTAAGGCTTGATCTCAACTTAAAAATTATATTCAAATCTGTTTAACAAATTTTAATTTATTGTTTAAACTCTTTTAAAATTTGAGTAAATCTTCGGATTTGAACGAATTATTAACCCTTAAAAAAATCTACCAAAAAGTCACTAATCCAAATTTTAGGATCAATTAAATATGTTAAGTTTAGTTTTATTTTTTTAATTGAAATATGTTAAGTTTGTTTTATTTTTTTAATTGAAATGGTCAAATATTGAACTTTAGTCATTGTTTAAAAAAATTTTAATCACCAAAACTAAAAATTTAATATTACATAAACTAAAAGCTCTTGTCATTGTACTTTGGTTTGATTAAATTTTGTCATTGTACTTTTGTTTTTTTATGATTTTTGGGCCAAACAAACGAAAATGAAATATTTTGTAGAATATATATTTACAATAAGTTTTGAATAAAATAATAAATATGATGTTGATATTCCAAATGGAAAAAAGTATATAGATGGAGTTCCACGTTGGATTAAATTATTATTTTTTAATAAAATAAATATTTTTAAATAATAAATTTAAAATATTTTTAAAAACTAATTTTAAGTCATTTGCTCTATACCACTAATTATCTTTTCAAGCAATCGTAAAAAAAAGTAATTACAAAAAGAAAAAAAAATAAAGAAAATACTAACTATACCTATTCACGTTTGCTGTTTTCTTTCATTACTTTTATATTATATCAATGTTAAATGTTGGGTTTAATTTCAAGTAACTAGAGAGCTTATCATGAAAAATATTTTTAGCTTATATATTCTAACCTATCTAATATATTAATTTTTTAGAGAATGGAGGAAGGAAAGGGTGTCCACGTGGCATCCAATCCTTCCTCCATTATCTTTTTCTTTAATTTTAATTTTATTTATTATTTATTTTATTATTTATATATTAATTTTGTAGAGAATGGAGAAAGTAAAAGGTGTCATGTGGCACTCCGTCTTTCATTCTCTACTTTTTTATTATTTTTTGTTTTTTTTGGTTTTGTATTTAATTTTCTTTTTTATTAAATCCGTTTTTTGTTTTTAAAATTTTTAATTGGCTTTTTAAATTTTATTATTTATAAATTTATTAATTTTGTAGATAATGGAGGAAGGAGAGAGTGTCCACATGGCACCCTATCCTTCCTCCATTTTTATTTTTTTTATTTTATTTTTTATTAGATAAATTTTGTAAAAAAATATCAATAGAAGTAAAAATTATAAAATAATTTATATTCAATTAATTTTAGTTTATATCAATCTAATATATATGATTTTTTAAAAATTAAGATCAAATCGAAGTTTTTTTTTTTTTAAATGATGTCGCGATGGAGATGAATTTAAGGTACTTTGTCCTATCTTAGATGTCTTTATCTTTTTTTTTTTTCATTTTCTTTTTTTTAAAGCTTTTCACTTTTTTTGTTTCATTTTTTTTTATTTTTAAATTTTTTATTAGATAAATTTTATAATAAAAAAATTAACTAAGATAGAGATAGTAAAATAATCCGTATGCAATGAGTTTCAGATCACCCCAGTTCAATAGATGTAAGAATGATAAAAAAACCAATAACTGATAACTGATAAGTGTCAATTTATCATGACCTAATCAATATGATTTTTTTAAATAAAGATTAGATTAAGTTTTGTTTTTTTAACAATTTAGGTCAATTCGGGATGGATTTGGGATATTCTGCTCTAATCTTCCTTAGGATATATAAAAAATATATTTTATTATTTACTTATTTTATATTTACATATATGTATTATATTAATAAAAATATTATTTAGTATCTTAATTTAATAAAAAATTATATTTATATATAATTAAATTATAATTTATATTAAAAATTAAATATATTTATATTTATCTATATGTTGCCATTCATTAAAACTTGCTATAAAATTTTTACTTTTCCGATATTTAAAACATAATTAAAAAAAATAAAAAATAATCCTGCAACTTAGTGCGGTCTAATTCTAGTTAACTTAAAGACGGAAATAAAAAAAAATAATCATAAACCACTTTTTAAAGAGAAAAAAATGTTTTTGATGGAAATATATTAAATTAAAAAATCAATTATGAATTTAAAATAAAATGATTAAATATGAAAATTATTAATATCTAAAATTCCAGAAGGCAAAGAGTTAATTCTTTCTTTCTAAATTTTTTCCTTGTTTTGAGCGAAGAAAAAAAAGCGAGTTTTTTTTTTTCTTGTGTTCTTGTTGGATTGAAGGCAATTTTCTCACTATTATAAATTTCATTTTATGGTTCACATGTTATTCTTTTATTTATTTTTGTTGTTATTAGAAAATAATAGATAATAATTTTTGTTAATTTTTTTCAAAAAATTACCAAAAATAAAAATAAAATTAAAAAAATTCAACCAATGATAAAATCAAACTAAATTGAATTTAAAATTTTAAAACTAATAACGGTTTGAATCGGATTTGATTTGATTTTTTTTATATATTATATAATATTATAAAATTGAATTTAAACAAAATTTTCATTCTTTTTCGAATTGAATTTTATTATTCAATCTATGGATTTTTAAATTTTAAATTTTTTTAATTTTTATATACTATTTTAATATATTTAAATAAAATTTGATATACAATTATTATTTTTATTTTATAAAAATTTAAAAAATATATAAAAATTAAAATATATATAAATCAGTTCAGTTTGATTTTTTTTTTCACTTACTAATCTAAAATATAATCTAAACTTAATATATATATATTTAATATTAAAATTTGATTCCAATCAAATAAAAAAAAATTTGATTCCAATCAAATAAAAAAAAATTGATTCATATTGAATTGTATATTACGGATTTTCGATTTTCTTGATTTTTTTATCCCTAAATAAAATTACCCATTTATCCCTTATTCTAACCCAAATCGAAGTTACAAATCAACAAAACGTAATTGCAAAAGTCGAGTCTGTACCATGTTGAGTCTATAATTGTCATGCATATTCGCGACGTGGCGTATTTTTAGTGGACAATCTAAGAGATGCAGAGGATAAAATATTGCTTCCAACGATTTAAATTTCAAACAATTAGCAATATTTTTTTGAAGAAAAAAGCAGATAAAGAGAGTAAGAGGGAAGGTTTAGTTAGAAATGGCGGGAATTTGTTGTCCAAATCTGATTCCACATCTCAACCGGACGACCACTCAATCACCGTTAAATTTACAGAGGGTCCACGGCGCACGGTGCTGCTCTGTTACACCGGAAAATGAAAATAAAACCAAAACTCCTCAGCTTTTAAGACTGGCAGTGAGTGGTGTCACAGAGTTGCTAAGACTCTTTCCCTCTTCCACCAAAGACAGGTAACTAACTTTTTTTTTTTTTCTGTTTGATTACTGAGAAAAAGCTGGAAAAGAAAAAAAAACTAACTTATGAAGTTTAAATGATCTGATAATTTTGTTTGTTATCTAAATCTTTTGAAGAGTTGATGACGAACCGAACACTAGAGACAGAGATGGAATTTCAGTTTCTGATGTTGCTGATGTTTTAAGGATCCTCGAATCTGATTATGAAAATGCTTACTTTGTTACAGGTATCCTCTTGATTTTTTAATTAATTTTTTCTCAAAAATGCTTATTTTCATTTCATCTCAAGATATGTCTGTTAATCATTTATCGGATATGGCATGCTACTTACTGTTTTTGAAAACATCTATTTGATTTTTTTTTCCTTTTCTTTCATCTGGATATAGGGAATTTCACTTCTGCAATTTATGCTGAAGATTGTATCTTTGAGGATCCAACTATTAGATTCCGAGGTTAGATGCATCAGAGTAATACATCAGAAAAGGGATTTATATTGCTGTATCTATCATGTTGTGCAGGTGTATAGTACTTGTAATGTCCTTTCCGAACTCAATTCCTTTTCTGATATGACCCTACTTTTGACTATAGAAAATAACTATGAAAATTTTATCCCTCTAGTTTCTTGTTTTTGTCTTTTACTTGGCATTCAACCTCAATCATGTAGCATCATTCGACCACTTTTACTATCTCATCATGCTGGATATTGTTCTCTCCTTTGTTGGTCTTTGGGGAGGATTTTTCCCATATAGTCAGACTTATTTGGATCTAATTTAGCTGTTTCTATTTTCTAGTTTATGTTTTATTGACATCTTTTTCTATACTGAGATATAAGAAAAGCCGGGAAGAAATATAACTTATCTTTTGTAGGAAATATATGAAAACTTTTGTACGAGGCACTTGAACTCCAATAAAAGGCAAATTTTCTCCTTAAGAGGTAACATAAACCGCCAATAAAATCAGTTTATTGTCATCTCTTGATGTTTAATCTTGTGACAGTAGAATTACCAATTAATGTAATGCTACTTGTCATCTCACTCTAATGTTCATGCATGATGCTATTACATGCTAATATTTGATGCTTCCTTTGTCTAAAAAAATAGTTTGGACTATCTTAAACTTAAATAATATCTACAATATCTATGGTCTTTGGTAATTCAGGTAAGGAGTTATATTCTCGCAACTTGAAATTGCTTGTTCCTTTCTTTGACCGCCCTTCAATTGGATTACAAAAGATTGAGAAGGTATATCATTCTCTATGAATTAAATTGACTTTAGCTAGATGTGGGAATGAACTTCTGTAATTTAGTAGTATGAACATAACTCTCTTTATAAAAGATTGTTTACATTTAATTCATTTTAAAGCAAGTGGCTTCTTTTGAGCCTGTGGTTGAGATACCATGCGGTTTAGTCCTGATTTCTTATGAAAAGATGGAGTGGATGATATTTATTGGAGATAATTTATAGGATAGAAGGATTTGCGCTATTTCATGAGTCTAAACTTAGTGTCTTAAATAGGTGGTTCTAGAACCCATTTTCGGATGTTAATACATCTTCATCCACAAAATGATATTCATACATGATACAGCATCCCAGGAACAGAGTCTGTTCAGTAAATATTTACCAATTCAACGTACTGCCGTTTCATTTATTTCACGGGCTTGTATATGTTTGTTTGCTTTGGTGCTTCCTCCCTTAAAAAAGGAAGCCTCCATGACTTGGCATTTGGCCAACGGGGTAGAGAAACAAACTATTTAGGAGGATAATATATGGATTGTTTCTCCTATAATTGAGGAAAGGATTTTGCATATTAAACTTTTTTTTGCCTCAGGTGTAAAACATTTTTAGTGGTTTCTATTGTGTTTTATGGTATATTTAGATTAGGTGTTTAAGAATTTACTAATTAGATGCTTTAGAATTAGAGGAAAAGAACCATTCTTGCTGACAGGGTAGTTTCCTCTTTCTACTCAGTCATTCTTTATGAAGATATTTTATAAGTGAAATTCAGTTTCATGCCATCTAATATAGGCTGCCAAAAGTTCACACCTAGAATAGACCTGTAACAACTTGCCTTGTTTCAGGCCTTCCAAAGGGTCTACCTTCTTTCCTCAATGCATAGGCAGAACCATTACCATTTAAGATCCTGGAGTTGAGCTTGGTTTCTGAAGGTACATTTATGTTTAATAGCCAAGATTCACACTTGCTGAACCACCTTCAGCATTTTCAACTTATCAAATGGATATCAAGGAGCCCTAAGCACATAACACATATAATAGGTTTTCATTATTCAAGAGAGAAGGATGCTACATAAGTGTTTAAAATATGTCTCTTCGAGAAGGCATTGTGATTTTATACTGTCAGGTAACTCCCAACCCTTAACAGAAACAAAAAGATTGGCAGAAGAACAGATCTATTATTTTTTGCATTATTACATTGCTTCCTTGGCTCCCTCTCCCAACGTTTTTTCTGTGACCAAAACCTATTTTGATTTCAACGATTTTGGATAGTAGCTAATAATTTGTCTTTATATGCAGGGTGTCAACACGGAAATGAATTTTGTGCTGGCAACTTGGAGGTTAAGGTGATCTTTATCTTGTATCAGTTTGGCTGTGATTCATGGTCAAATATTCCAATTGTCTGAATCACTGAAGGAAACTGAGGTTGCTTAAGAACTAGAATTTGAAGTTACTTGAAAATTGAAGTTATTCTTCTGTCATTAGAGAGCAGTTTATTTTCACACTTTACTCTGCAACCTTCACTTGCTTAGATACTACCATTTGAGCTGTATCGAAACAAAAGAAAGATATTTTTTGCTGCATAAAACCAAAACAATTTCGGTTAGCTGTCCTGATGCCTCCTGGAGGGACTTAGTTTTTCTGATACCTCCTCGAGGTATTTAACAATAAAAGCAACAAGTTTAAGTGACTCTTGATTAAAAAAATAATTTAGCTTAAAATGCTTAAAAAGATGAAAGAGATGGGGGCCGCATGAAATGCTTCATTGATGTGCTAAACTTCAATATATCAATAAGCCAATAACGCAAGGCAATAAACAGCAAACCTCATTATCTAGTCAAGTTATTTTCTCGTGTGTTATGCCTTAATGTCTCCCTCAGAATTTGGTCTGGCAGCTATTTATTGAAATGGAACTCTTAAGTTTGGCCTGGAAAAATGAATTTGTGAAAAAATTCCTTTCTTCTGTGCATCTCTGTGTGTGTGTGTGTTTTAATAGCTACTACATCAATAAATCACTTGTTACACAAGTAGCTGTGTGGTAGAGATATTTCATGCGATGCTTTTTGTTAGGACAAGGTCATGTTGAGACTTTTTTCAACTTAAGGTTCTTTTCCTATTAATCCTTTTTTAGGGGAATGAGGAACTGTGGTTCCAGAATACATAAATCTTCAGTTGATCCCTTTATGAAAGAATCTAAGCATGGATTGAGTGAAATTGCTTTTCAGTTGCCTATTCTTTTCCACAAGCAATTGTTGGTTTCTCATGGTTTAAGAATATTTTAGAATTACATATTTGCTTGAGTCAATTTCTTGGATATCTTCGGGCATTATTTTTGTCACTTAGAGTTAGTTGTATATCTTATTTGCAGAACCTACCTGAAGCTTCCATGGAGGCCTCTTATTTCAATTGATGGAAGCACTTTTTATGAATTGGATGAGAAGTTTACCGTAAGATAAAAGCTTTCTTTACTGTGTCAGTGGGTTTTTTTTTTTTTTTTTTAACTTATATTTTGTGCATGCCATGAATGTCAGCATTTATGGTTGTTTTCTTTGATTTTCTTTTCAGATTGTTAGACATGCTGAGAGTTGGAATGTCTCTGCACTCGAAGCAATTGGTCAGATATTTACCCCTCGTTTTGGAAGGCCAAATTATTGAGCATAATGTACAGACCACAAAAAATCAAGTTGCTATAAAGTATCATTAATATGAGTATCAGTTTCCGGTAGGATTTCTAAAGCAAAGTGAAAGAGTTATATATATTGGAATTTAAATTTTAGACTTGTTAAATAATATTTTTTAAGAATGATTATATGAATCAATTAAATTAAATTATGAATTCAAATGTTACTCTTAAAGCAAGTCGGACAAAGTTGATCAATGGTTCAGACATAGTTCCTCTCCTAAAGATAAATCATGCTATATTGTGACATGTATGGATATTCCAATTTTTCTTGTTGGGATTATTAGCTGTGATCTTGACGGTCAAAATATTGCATGGTTGAGGTAACAGAGTCAGTAACAAGATACAGCTAAATCAGCCAGACACGATGCATTTTCATGTCAATGTATATTGTACTAAATCATCCTTAACTGTTGAGAACAAAATTGCTAAAAAAAGAAAGTAAAACAGACACCAAAGAGTATTTCACCTTTTTTTTTTTTTTTTCATTTTCAACCTTTGGTGTCTGTTCTTTGGTGCTTGTTCTCGGCTCATTATTTATATATTAATCAAGTTTGATCGAATGAGTTTGAATAACTTGATTTTTATTTGAAGTCGAGCTTGAACTAAAAAAAAATAAAATTCGATCAAGTTCGAATTAAGTTTCAAACTTCAAATTTTGAATCGTACTCGAAATTGATTACATCCCTATTTGACATTATGTTTTACACAATACAAATATTTATACAAGAATTTTTACATCTATATCCAGGTATAATTATCAAACACAAAACTTGCAGTTAGAAGTAAACTAATTGCCACTTCAATCAAAACTCATCTATGTGATCCAAAGCCAACATTCTCATAGGAATTTTGTGCTATATGGTTCTTGATGTTTCGGGATTAAAACAACAAGACATAGATATCAGAAAGACTTGAAATTGGCCAATTAGCTAATTATTGGCATAAATAAATAAATAAATAAACTTAATTTCAACAGAACTCAACAGACCAAAAATCACACAAGCACAACATTTGGATTAAACCAACAAGACATAGAAAGACTTGATGTTCTTGACACTAACATTTTTTGCTATACGGTTCTTGATGTTCTGGGATTAAACCAACAAGACAAAAATTAGAGACTTGAAATTGCCCTATAGAAAAACACTTAATTTCAACAGAACACAACAATAAGTACCAAACATCACAAAATAAATTGGTTCATCACCTCAATTCAAGTACAGCATTAATACAAAATAGAAACACCCAAAAGAAAGTAAACAATTAGCACAACATTTAGAAAATAACATTCAACCATCAAAAAGTTGTTACAATGAAGTCTAGATATCCCATATGAAATTATAAATTAAAAAAAAAAAAAAAAAACCTCTTTCACTTAGTCAACGCTCTGCATAATATCCTCAGCAGTAAACTTAGTACCCTTATCTTTATCAGCGGCGGCCCTTCCTTTCGCCTTCTTATTCAACAAACTCTTCCGGTCCTTATCCAGCCTCAGCTTCGTAATCACAACCTTCCAAGGGTTGATGCCCACGTTAACAGTTGACCCATTGACTTTCTCACGACTGATTCGCTCCACGTTTATGACCCATTTGCGACGGTAGACTTCAACCACTTTCCCTTCAGGCCCTTTGTAAGTTCCGCGGACCACTTGGACCTCGTCGTCCTTGCGAACCTGCATGGACCGGAAGTTGTATTTGGAGCGGAGGTCGGAGGAAAGTGGCGCGCCCATTTCATTTTTGCGTTCTCTCTTCTCTGAGTCGGCCGCAGGATGGAAATGATGATTAGGATTTTCGAGATTTTAAGGGTGAGGGTGAGCGAGTCTGGCTCTCTTTTTTTTTTTTTTTGGCTTAGTTTGTATACGGATTTATTATTATTATTATTTTCTAATTTTGAAATATTTTTATAATGGAAATTATTTCTTGTTTTACATTATTAATACTTGACCATCAATATAATTTAAAATTTGTACAGAGGATTTGGGATTTGAAGTCAATGCTTTTGTTTCAGATTACCTGCTGAAATTCTGGATTTTCTTTTTTTAAGATTTAAAACCAAAATTAGGTTATAGATTATCAACATGCTAACAATTTATCTCCTACTAAACCCATTTTTCATTACCATTACTCTGTTGGAGTAGAAATTGTTCAACTTATGATTTTTGGACCTCATGCTCAAAAAATGAGACAACCTTTGCCTTTCTGCACATTATGCTAATGAGGACCAAAAGGTAGTAAAATAGCAGAATTTTGAATATTTCTCGTGCTCCATTGCCAAACTTTGCAAATGATGCGTGCGATTAAAATTTGTAGTATATTGAAAGAATGTGGCATTGAGAACAAGATTTCCTCTCTTGCCATTGACAATGCATGTAGTATTGTTAATAGGCAAGAGATGTTGGATCTTACTGTTGAAGATGGTTTGGATCTTACTTGAGTCAAGTATACCGCTTCCAAGATTTATTTTCAAAGGAACAATGTGAAAAACGGTGCCAGAGTAACATATGCATGCACAGCAAAATCTATAGTAAATTATACAATCTCGTGCATATGGATCTCTAAAGCAAATTACACAAGGGACACTCGCTAATGATTTCCCTGTCTATGCAAATGGATGTTCTGATCATAAAAAACAGTCAAAGTTCAATTTCAGATATACCAAGAAATATAGTGATCTGAACCACAACCACGTGCAAAGCAACATTGTTTATTTGCAAATACTGATCCAGCAATCTTAGCATCACATGTTTTTTTTTAACAGGCACACCAAATATCAAAGGATCTCGCAATTATGAGTTAATTCTCAGTAACAGATATATATAGCTAATAAAACAAGGAACAAGTACAACATCGATCACAATTTCTTTTCAAAGTGATCACGCCATTATTGTTGGCGGGCTTATTCCTCTTCCTCTGCTTCCTCCAGCCACTTCACAAAGGGCTCCAGTGCCTTCACAAACGTTTGCCTGCGATAATTTACAGTATATTCTATAAGATGATACAGAAACAAAAAGTAAGGAATGTAATATCAGTTAAGGAAAGAAATTCGGTAGAAAAAAAAATAAAAGTAATGTAATTATAAGCTAGGGTTTCAGAATGAGAAAAGGACAGTAATAATTATGGTTATTTACTTGGTTATGACCTCAACTAGTGGGTTTAGATAATATAGAAATTGGCCTAGCCTTCATTTTCACATAAAAATAATGAACAAAAGAAAAGCACTGAACCTTCGAACTCAAAAAAGTGGGAATTCAGTACTCTGATTCGTTACCATATGTTCCTACCAGTCATTCAAGTGCTAAGCAGAACCATTGATGATACATCATACTTCTCAATGATATGACAGCAAACATGAAATGAAAGCATACCTGCCCTTCAGGTTTGTTCCTCTCCGGAACCAGTGAAGAATGGTGTCTTCTGCAAGGACATCCTGGTCATACAGAGACCTCACAATCTCAGGGAACAGCTTCATCAATTTTGCATCCTCATAGCATTGCATCTGAACTTTATATATAAGCTCAAGCTCAAGTTTGCCACTGGTGCAGAAGGAATTTAACAGTTTTGCCCATGTTTGGACCTTTATCAAGAAAACATCTATCAATTAACACCTTAGTCCATCATTTATTCTCAAAATGACAACTAATAATTTAATATATAGTTATCCAAAAATTCCTAACAAGTTATTTATTCTAGAAAGCAATTTGAATCTAGCAAAACTACATCAACTTTAATTATGCACCGCTAAAGGGGCAAGTTTTAGAATTTAAAGGGGACAGTAGAAAATTGCCATATGTGGGAATGAATAACTGTTGAACTTATGCAAAGGTCAGATAGTAATGCATTCATGTAGAACATAATCAAAGTCCGGGCAGGTGTCTAAAAAAAAGGGCTAGTAAGAGAATTTAATGGGGCAGGGTTGCATATAGAAATTTGACATATGTGGGAAAAGATAAATGTTGAACTTATGTTCAGATCAGATAGTTATGCATTCAAGTAGAACATAATCAAAGTTTGGGAAGATGTCTATGAAAAGAAAATCAATTTGAGCCAAGACTTCTACTTTAGAATGCTTTTCAAAAAAAAAAAAAGGTTTACTTCAGAAGCTTCACAGAACGTAAACAGATACATAAATTCAGCAAAATGATTACTATTACACAAATTTAAACCAGGTATCCATCCAACCTCCAGAACAAATCAAATAAATTTCCGGGAAAACACTAAGAAAGGAACTAAACCACGCATGCTGACCACTACTGTCTCTAATTAGAAAGAGGAATATCAATGAAGTGAGATAACCAAGTTCAGCAGAAGTCAAAAAACAATGAACCAGAAAGTGGTCAATATAAAAGAGCTATGACCAGGCACTAACACATATCAAACCAATGATATTAAACTGTAGAATTACAAGATGTGAAATACAACTAAAAATGTTATCAATTCATGTAACAACCAACCTAGAATGTACTAGTACTCAGCAATCTAAATGAAAACAAATTCTTTAATTGGTCAAAATATGTGTATAAGAATCAATTCTCCCCTAACCGTCTTCCTTAGATTGCAGTCTCAGGAAGTCAGCCACCCAAGTTTCTTACCTGAAGCCAATTGAAGTAAAGGAATTGACATCCAAAATATTGTTTCATCATAAGCAGGTTGTTTTTCTTACCCCCACCCCTTTTAATTACCCACCCAACACGACTCCTTCGTCAAATAAATTAAATCAAAGGAGAAAGTAAAATATGCATCAATCACTGTGAAAGTCAGCTGCGTCCACATCTCCAAACATGCAACTCAATTTATATTTAACCAGAAAAAAGAGGACAAAGCAAAAAGGCACAGATCAAAAGTATGAGCACTCTATAGTTCACGAACCATCAGTAGATCATATGATATTACAGAATCTTTACAAGTTGCAAGACATTTTACAACATGGTTTACTGTCATTTTGCACCTAGGTTGCAGTTAGCACCCCCTTTATGGTGCTTTTTTTTTTTTTTATAATAATTTTCTTACATATTTGCAACAAATGTGGAATAAAGTAATTTCCTGAATGCACGACCTAGTGATTATGAACCTGTTTTCAATAATGTTTGATACCGATAGATTTATTTCATTTTTGTGTAGACAAAGACCAGGCATGCATCAGATTATTAGGGTTTGGGACATTAGGTTATTATGTTGCTATGTGCCTGATCTCCTATGATACATTGGGTTTCCATTGAAAAAGGGTCAGGGAAAGAAATATCAACAGACAATTTATTACCTGTCGCAAAGCTGAATTGGCATTCTGCTGCTGGTTCTTTCCAGACCACTGAACAGCATCCATTAATACATCCCACAGAATTCGTACAACCTCAATATCAGGTAATTTAGCATCTTTAACAAGTTGTTTGACAGTTTCAATTACTTCAGATATATCAGATTCCTCTGCTATCTGGGTTGTCAGAGCAGACTTCATTTCCTTCAGTTTTACCTCAAATATTTTTTTCTCATGGTATTCAACCAAGGGCACCAACCCTTCCTTGCTGAAAATCAACATAATTAGACATGAATAAGTTTCAAACCAGTCAAGAAGCATGACATATAGAAAGACACAGCTTGAATTCACTCGCAAATCAAAATATACAACCACACATTGTAACAATACCATGAGGTGTTCTAGATGATGAATAGATATAAGAAACTCATCCCATGCCTTGTTTTGAATTCACTTAAAAGAAAGGATGGAACTGCAAATAGGATGAATCATCCTTCTAGTATAGGATAACATAATACTTTGAAAATGGAAGGATTAATAGCATAGGATGATTGGCATTTTCATATTATCTATTTTACCCCTAAAAGTTGCATAAAAAAACTTGACTTAAACCAATATAAAGTGCCACATGAGATTACTTGGTTGGCTAACCTAAATGCCACTTTTTTTTTTCTCTTTTCTTCTATTTTATTTTTCCCATCATTTCTTATCTTGCTTCCCTTTGCCACCACCACCACCGGCAAGGTTTTAGGTCGTGACAAGGGGGATGGAGTCTTTTTGCATCAGACTTGGCAAAGGAGAGACCGAAAAGGAGCTCCTTGCACTAGATCAATTCCGTGAGCGACCAAATCTGGCCCTTGGCCCTCTCATGCCATTGGATGGTTCCAACCGCCATAATGAAGGGCCAGATCTAGCCATCCAGACAACCCTCCCTATCCGGCAGCTAGCCTCAATATCAAGGGAAGAAAAAAGGAAAAAGAAAACAACAAAAGAAAAAGAAAAGTAAAAAGTAAACAAAAAAGGGGAAACTGGAATGAAAATACATTGTTTGGTAAAATAAAACTTTTTTTTTTTTTGAAAAATCAATCTAGCTTTTAATGGTCAAATTTATAGGTTTAAATTATATCCAAAACCATAAAATTATAAATTTTAAGGAACGGTAATTTTCATCAATGACAAAAATCTTCGTATTATAACCTCAATCTGTATAGATAAAATATGGTATAGGATAAACAAATTATCCTATCCTAGTCTTAATCTAGCACAAACTAAGCATAGGATAGGATAATATCATTTAATCCCATCTGCTAGCTTATCTCAAATTATGATACATATTCTATCCTTTCCATTATTCTGCATACCAACACACCATAATTCAATATTTCTTGAACAGCCAAGTCACAATGTTATTAGAAAAACATATGTACTTAATCACATGAAACCCAAAATCAAGAAAGGTTCAATTATCTAAGCCAATTATGAATAAGAATCAAGTTATTAACACATTTAACATTTCTCGAGCCTACCACTGATATTGTCAAAGACATG